CCGACCATTTATCCTTCCTGTAACATCCCGGTTGAGTACGACCATTTTCTCCAATCTGACAGCTAACTAGTATCGTTTCGAGGTAATATTCGCAATGAAGATTTGCGGCTGCGATATGACATTTTATACAACCAGTTTCGAGAGCGTATTTTCCGTTTGATACTTTTGATGATATCTCTTTGCACATTATGCAGTTTTGAAACCGCATGCTGCTTTAAATCTTTGCGTGCTAAGTTAAATGAAACTTGCTCGTTCTTAGCTGGCCACAAATTTCTTGATAGTTCAGAAGTACTGAAAAGCATTACCTCTATACAAGTGAACTTCGGCTATCTGATTCCTTACGTAGATTGGCCCGAATGTCAGCATCGGTAGCAATGTAACGGTGGCGGCCGGCGTGCGTATCAGAGAATCCATTATACTGGATGGTGCGGTTTTACAGGTAATGTCGATCAGCCGCTGTACGTGCAACGCACGCCACTGGCATTTTGCACTTAGCTACGGTTAGTTACTAACTTCTCTTGACAGGAACAGTGCTGCGTATTGTACAGCGTTATCGGTTGGAACTGCCACGTTGGCGAATGGGCTCGTGTTGAAGGAACACCTGTGGGTCCAAACCCAAATATGCCTTTCGCTAAATTGGAGAGCAAGCCGTTGTTCAATCCAAATGGTAAACTGAACCCCAGCATTACAGTGATCGGTACGTCGGCCGTCTTTGCTAGGTAGACTTTAATATTTTTATATTTCTGCATTTTTCTAGGCTGCAACGTGCAGATACCAACCGGGATAATGGTTTTGAATTCGATTGTCTTGCCACACAAAGAACTAGAAGTCAGTTATATGAATCAGATAATTCTTTAAATTGTTCTATTTATTAAGGATTGCAGGATAAAATATCACGTTTTTGAACACATTTTTCATACACATACATCATTAGAACAGCCATTGCCGTTTAGTAGAAACAGTATTAGATGTTTTGGTAAATTCATACTTGACACCAAATCTCGTCTTACACGTTTCAGAATAACAGTTTTACATAAATCTTTGAGTCTACGAACAAGTGGCAACCTCGAAACTGGATATTTCAGAACAACCGGTTCGCTCCCGTCTTTGTAGTAGCTTGGATAAAGCATAAAATGATATTTGCCGTCCAACGACTCTTTAATAGTTCGTTCGATGAGATCGATGATTGAAAATGAACAAAACGTTATGTTTGCAAATCCGAAGCCAAATTTACCTAAAAAGCTGCATTTTAGATGGTTTCAAATTAATATGCAAACGTAGCACTAAATTAATATACTAACTTTTTTAATACTAAACGATGCTACTACACGTCCAGTTTGATCGTTTTTGAGTAGGGGGACGATGTCGCTGGAATGTCAATTCGCGCTGAAAACTCAATTTCCATGCATAAAACCTATTAACCACTTGGGTTATATTTTAACAACTAAATACATTAATAGCGGCGCCGAAGCAACCTCTGAATACCTCAGGACTACTGATGTACTATATACACTTTACTCTTCTCCGGTTTTTTTTCAACTCAACTGGTGTCGGAGCGAACCGTAAATAAGAAAGAGGCGCGCAACGACTCGCCACTTTTTGACGTACTTAGGGCTATAATAATAACTCACGTCATACGTACTCACTTGGAAAATAATAACTTTAACGGCACTTTTAGCCGAGGACGTAAACGACCCTGTTACTATACACTGGTTTTTATTACCCTTAAGGGGATTCCCCTTAAGATTAAGCACGATACGAGTACTTCTGAATAGCAAACATTTTACATGGATGCCAATTACAACACCAACTAGAAAACATGACATACACAGATAAACTTGTTTAGGTCATCCTGGAACAAATAAAAAATAAAGCAAAAGTTCGTAACCGCTCGAATGTCGGTTCGCATCGCGCACCCCTCCTTTCAAGGGGACTTATGCGGTGCCTCGCTGATATCAAGGCATGTATTATTTTAATGCGAAGTCTAACAGGTAGTAAGTATAACGTATAGCAGCCCCACAAAGTGATGTTGATTAATCTATCTGGAAAGGATGAAAGACAAGTGACTATATGGGGCTTAAATTCAATTTTTCAGCTTTGAGTACGATGCTCTACTAACGGCGTTAACTTGTTTCGAGCAGACAAAAACCATTGCATTATAAACGGATTAACATAATTAAGTCTGACGTGTGCAAATAATGATGAATTCGAACATAAACAGACTGATCAGGAAAATCTTTAGA